AAAATATTGAGACATTGAGAATTCAACTCCATTATCAGTTTGTATAGTTTTAACAGATGTAGAAAACTGATTTTCAATTTCAGCAATGAAATTTGTTATGTGAGAGCGAGTTTCAGCCTTAGAGACCATAAGAAAAACCCAAGTGTACTGTGTGTTATCATCCACAATGGTTAAAAAATATCTATGTCCATTTAGAGAAGTAGTAGAGCATGGTCCCCAAATATCCATATGTAATTTCTTTTGAAGAAAAATATTGAGACATTGAGAATTCAACTCCATTATCAGTTTGTATAGTTTTAACAGATGTAGAAAACTGATTTTCAATTTCAGCAATGAAATTTGTTATGTGAGAGCGAGTTTCAGCCTTAGAGACCATAAGAAAAACCCAAGTGTACTGTGTGTTATCATCCACAATGGTTAAAAAATATCTATGTCCATTTAGAGAAGTAGTAGAGCATGGTCCCCAAATATCCATATGTAAAAGTTCAAAAGGTTTAGAAGCATGGGAATGACTTAAAGAAAAAGGAAGTTTTCGTTGTTTAGCAAAATGACATGTGTTACATATAAAAGTACTATCACTGGACAAGCATGAGTAACATTGCTTCATGATAAGCATACGTTGATGAGAAGGATGACCCAAACGAAAGTGCCATAAATCAATTGGCAATTTATTACACTGAGGATGGACTATAACAGACTGTATAAGGTGGTTAACAACTGGTTGAAGAGCAAGAGTGTAAAGGTTATTATGAACATCAATTGTACCAATCTTCCACCTGGTTTTCGAGTTCTGAATGATACATGAAGAATGAGAGAAAATCAATTCACATTTAAGGGAGGAAACTAATTTGGAAACAGAAATAAGATTGAAGTTGAAATTAGGAATGTAAAGAACATCAACAAGAAAAAGAGACTCAGAGAATTTTACTACACCAGAATGAGTGGCTGTAACGTGATGACCATTTGGGAGTTTGACAACTATAGGACTAATTGAAATATAAGAAGAAAAATTATGTAATGAAGAAGAAACATGATCTGTAGCTCCTGAATCTAATATCCAAGGAACCAAAGAGTTTTTGGCAGAACAAATTAAAGAATTACCACATATACCT